GAAGTAAAAAAATCAGATGGAATGAATGGGTCTTTAATTGAAAAAAAAAAAAAAAAGACTATTGATATGTTGACAGCATAAAAACCTGTTTGGAAAATTCATCAGGCAACTCCAATGGGTCTTTAAAATTGAAAAAACTATATTCTAACTATTCTAGATTTTCGTTCTAGATGAGAAAATTTGGAGACCGATCGATTTGAGACTCCAGAGGTTCAAGTTTTAAAGAAACTTATTTTTCATTAATTTGTCAAGTAAAAGATAAAGGAAATGTACGTTATTAGTTCAGTTGAACATGACAATATGTTCGCCTTAATTCAATTGCACATGGTAGTATGTTTGCAGTCTTATAAGAGTAGTTTATAAACATATATTGTCTCGTCAAAATACCGCATGTTGTAGAATGATTAGTGACTAGAAGTGTGCTTAATAAGTGTAAACCTTCGTTTAGTTTCATGCATAACAAAATAAAAACGATAAATGCCATGAAAAATAAATGTTGGTTACAACGAACCGAAAAAGCAGCTTTGCTGACTTTTTCTAGATCAAGCCACGTTGATGGCTCTGTTTGACTTCCATTTATAAAAAGTCGGATTTTGATTTCAATGTTATGTTCTTCTACGTAACTCTTAACTCACCAGCGAAATTAATCATCAAGAATTAATATTCAATTCTTCTGCTTCCTCTTAAGTGGCAAACAAGACTTTTGGATCAATTCCGTAATTAACGTGGGCTTGCATTCACACGGTACTCAAAATGCCGAAGCTTAGGAAATCGGATTCCTTCGGGATCCAAATGAACTGAGCTTAAGAATCAAATAATCTGGATTATTAAAATTTGATCTAACGGCTAAAAGTATTATAACTTTTAAATGAATCTCTTATTTGTAGCCGTTTGATTAAATTTCAATGATTTGGATCATTTGATTCTTAAGATCAATTCTTTTGGATCCGGAAGGATCCGGTTCGTAGCTTGAAGGATCCGGTTCGTAGCTTGGTAGTCTGACAAAAAACAATAGTGCATGCATTAGGGCTTATCAGTGATGATGGGAGAGTACTGCAGGCAGACTCCCCTCCTTCCTCAGTTCTGTGAATCTAATCATTTCATGTCCTTTTTAGTTGAAAGTGCAGATGACATTTTGTCACGTCTTAAGGAAAAGGAATAACTTTTTTGAATTACATTTTGGAGTATGTACTGCTTTGAGATTCCAAGTCATAATCATCTGTTTTATCAACATGAACTTGAGGAGTGCAAACGAAATTAAAGTTGCAAATGCCATTTTGCCCAATTCTAAAGAAAAGCACTAACTATTTTGAACTACATTTTGGAGATTGTATTCAAGACTCCACATAAATCATCATGCACTCATTTGTTATACTAACATTAAGTTAAAAAGTGCAGAATAATTTTTTGAGCACCACCAACAATTTCTATACATACAATTACATATGTATCATATATTTGGAAGCACATCAGTATATAACTTTGAGCTGGACGTGAGTTTGAAATAGATATGTAATTTAAATGTAGTCGACATCATTATATTGTTTTGTGCGAAAAATATCTTGAATAGATGGATGCATGGATAGCAACGGGGAGACAGGCAGGTGGCACTATTAGTGGGGATGGATATATAAACACGTGAGGGCCGGCCCTAACAATTTGGGGACTTCAGGCGAATTTTCAAAGTGGCGTTATAAACTCTGATTTCTGACCCTTTGTACATCGATATGTATAAGAAAAATTTGCTAAATACATGAAAAAAAATCTATTTGTACATCAAATATCTTTATAAATTAATATCATAAAAGAATATATATATATATATATATATATAAAATACAAACATTATTTAAATATTATATGTTTCACGTTTTTAAATGCATATATACTAATTGAGCACAAAGTTTATAATATTAATTTATATATATATATATATATAAATAAATAAATAATTGAAAGCCCCTTCGCAGTGGGGCCCATGGCGGCTGCCTGCTCCGGCTACTGAATGGATAGCAAAGAAGCAAAATAAGGGAGAAAAGCAAAAGGAGGTATGAGTACGTGGTACTGTTATCCGGTATATACACACTCCACAAGTTCCAAGTCCAGTAGTCCAGGGCAGCTGGGGATAGCTAGATCGATATGTGGCCAAAGTGCCGCAGTCCTTTTGGAAATTAAGATGGATATATGATGTGAAGTGACTTTGAAATTGGAATGGTAATTAGATAGATGCATGGCTAGTTCTCGATAAATAATGCATTTGAAAAGTCGGGTCAGAACTGCATATATCGAATAGTACAGCATATATATATATATATATATATATATATATATGTATGTATCCTTTTTCTGGCTTCCTAAATGTGTATTTAGTGTGGAAAGCCACCTCCTGAGTTCTGACCGGCCACTTCCATCTGCCAAAATTTTCCTTCCTGCTATGACTAATTGACTCCTTATAGGCACAAACCCTAATAGGCTGATAGCTAAGGAACTCAACAAGAAAACTCTAAGACTTGTCCAACAAGAAAACCCATAAAATAACAATATACCCTAACATAATAAATTAATAATAAACCAAACAACTAACTAATTAAGATAGATATTTGCGATTAAGATAGTAGTTTATAGGTTTAATAATAATTTTGTTAATGGTAAATAACATAGTAATACTCTATTGTCAGACAACTTGACGTATCAAATCGTCACAATTCTAAAATTACACCAGTTAAACTTCTTAATCCAGAACAAAAAGCTATAATATGTACATACAAAGAATATGATAGTTATTTTACTTAGATGAAACTCACTAAGAAAAAAAAAATTACCATGCACAAATTATTTTAGTGTATACTTACGTATATAATAAGTATAAAATTACGAATATGTTATGTGGACTATGTGCAAATTTGAATTCAAATTCTTGTTGTAGAAAATTATATATATATATATATATATTAGTGTATACTCACATTTATAAATGTATACAACAAACGAAGATCAGGGGCCCTTTGAAATTGAGGCCTCTGTGCGAGTGCACCACTTGCTCTCTTCAGGCCAATCCTGATTGATGCTACGTATAAATGTGAACTAACTGATGTATATATAATTCATCCAAGAACATGCATGGCAAGTCTTACTATAGACTTCTGTTCTATATATGCATCGCGCATTTGCATGAAATCAACTGAATTTTTTGAAATATCGACTCAAATTCTCAATATAAACCGCATGAATCATGGCTAAAAAATTAGCACTTAAATATACCAACATATCGAGTCAAAGGTAGCTTTGAAATTGCATTAACAATTTCATCACATTGTTTGAAGTTTGAACAGAAATTGTCAACCAAATACTCCACGTGTCTATCTGACTAGCCAATTGGATTGCTATTTTTTAATACATTTCCAGTTTGCTTGTGGCTCAACTTTAGCGTGATAAAGAAGGGTCAGACATAGACCCCCACTTAACTTCGATTAATTTCCACTTCGTTTATGGCTTGACTTTGCAAAATATATAGAAAATACATTCTCATACGTACAAAATATTGAAATTAAGCTAGAAATACACAAATGTTAAAATCAATGTTTTTGTATGAAACCATTGCATCAACAAACAGTGCATGTGTATCTTGGTTGTTGGTTAAAGGATTGCTTCAATTGTTTTCGAGAGAGACGCGTTATCTTTAATTTATTTTCTAATTCTGTATCTTCCCTTTGAAGTAGATTTCAGTCTACAAGTGACCTCATTTCCTGTAAGTTTCTTGTTCAATTCTTGGATGTTTCCTTTTACACACTATTTCATTAATCATATTGTTTCGTGGATTATGTTGCATCAAATTTTTTGGTGGATCATTAATCAAATTGTTTTGTGGAGTCTTGCATCAATTTTTTTGGTGGATAATTAATTGAACTATTTAATGTAGGTTTATATATATGCCTTGCATGAACATATGTATAACAAAATATATGAATTAAATCGTAGCTTTCTATATATATGACATGCATGTCAATTAATGATTTTATTCGAGCTCTAAATATATCATCACATAGGTCTCCTGAAATGTAGTTGTAAACATGATCAACTTAGCCGCGTGGATGTTGCCACTCCCAGTTTTGAATCTTTCTATGTAATTCCTTAGCCCAATATAGGCACAATTGGTTCAAATTCTTTTAGAAGCGAATGCATATATAAAAATAAGTTGACATCTTTAGTATATTTTTTTAATAATATACGTTATGATTAATTGATATGATTCTTATTAGACACTCATATTTTTCAATAATATACAGTATGATCAAGAAACAATCGCACCATCACATCAAGAACTTTTATGTACCTGGAACACTTGTCACATTTTTATGTGTTAAAATATAAGTGAATGATAAGTTGCCTTTGGTCCAATATTTGGACAGGGTGTTGGTTTGTACCCATGCATACCTGGTTCGAAAAACATTCATCTCCTGAATTATTGTAATAGTTTCAAACCCTCCTCTCACCTTAATAATAATAATTTTTTTTTTTAAAAAAAAGATAAGGTTGATAATGTCCTGCTTTCAAAGTTTATTAATGAAAAAAAAAAATAATACATGTGTTACAATTTGTTTGTAACTATAATCTCATGTGACGATGTTCTAGCTACACCTACACCGAAAAATCTCTCGCACCATGTCATACACTCACTATTTTCTTCTTCATTTTTATAATTTCAATTTGCACGAAATAATTAGGATATTATAAATATTTGAATGCTCAAAGGTATTCAACATAATTACTGTATAATTTGATCAACAAATGTAAATAAAACATGAAGCGGTGGAAGGTTCCCCCTCCTTGACGAACCAATTTCGCATAACTAGCTGCAGAAATGGTCGTAAACCACGATCGAAATTCAACCCTAGCATGCCCTTTAGACTTGAAATTCAATTTCACGCGATTCCATCATATATGACGACCCTCTCATGATGCCCCGCCCCGGACCTCCACTATAAATACCCCTGCTCTCACGTTGTTTTAGCAACCAAGCAAATCGACAGTCTACAAATATATCCACCCTCATTTCCAAAACCATCTCAATTTCCAATCGGCTTGCCAAATCCTTCATTACTCTTTATCGTTAACAACAAAATTATGGCTCCAATAGTCTCAAAACTTGGCATCATTGGTGCCGGTGTAAGTGGCATAGCAGCAGCCAAACAACTAGCCCATTACAACCCCATCATTCTCGAGGCCTCTGACTCCATTGGAGGGGTTTGGAGGCATTGTTCTTACAATTCCACAAAACTTCAGTCCCATCGATGTGACTATGAGTTCTCTGACTTCCCTTGGCCTGACAGGGACAACACTGATTATCCTTCTTACCTTGAGATATTGGACTACTTGAAATCTTATGCTGAGCACTTTGATGTGCTTAAGTTTGTCAGGTTCAATTCCAAGGTGGTCGAAGTCCGGTTCGTTGGTGACCGGGAAACTACTGATTTTGGTGTCAAACCTGTGGAGTTTCAGAGTCTCTCGCCGGCCGGCGGTCAGCCTGTTTGGGAAGTTGCCGTCCAGACCAATGATTCAGAGACCATTCAGGTTTAAGTGTTTATTTCATATCCAAATGGTATTTTCGGACAGTTTCATGCATGCCTAGGGTTTGCAGATGACTACTTACTACAGTATCATTGTGGAAATGGAACTCGGATTAATTACTAGAGTCTTACTAAGAAGTATATAGAGACGCAAATATGTTACAAAAAGTACTTTTATACGTAACCGAATTATTGGTAATAAATAAAACTATGTGAACACACAAAATTAACACACTTATGAACACTTTCTAATAAAGGTGAATTTTACCATTTTATGTAAATCAAATTGTATTAGAGAATGTGTCAGCAATTGAGATGATACCTTTTCCGTAGCTTAAATGTCAATCCTACTGGTTATTATCTTGGAAATGATAAAATAATGTTCTGATTTGTTTTTGTTTGTTCGAATTAATTCAGTGGTATGCCTTCGAGTTCATTGTGGTTTGTATCGGAAAATATGGTGATACACGCAAACTTCCAGAGTTTCCACTCAACAAAGGGCCTGAAGTATTTCAAGGTCAGGCTCTTCATGCTCTTGATTACTGCAAACTGGACAAGGACGCTGCTTCTGAATTGCTAAAGGATAAGGAGGTCGTTGTGGTTGGCTACAAAAAATCAGCCATTGATTTAGCTGTCGAGTGTGCTGAAGCAAACCAAGGTAAAAATTTGGTCCTAAAAATTCCTATATATGATGAAATCTTAGGTTAAAAAATGATAGAAAAATAGGTCTACGTTTTCACGTTACGGGGTTGTAATTTGCATGGTTACACACAGCAAACAAAGAAAGAATTCAATGGAAAATACGAATTGCGTGGTCAGGGTGTCAAAAGAACTGACCAATATTATGATGGTTTGGACTTCTTTGACTGCACATGTTTTTCAACAATATGATTCCAAATCACATGGACTGAATTACGTCCACATCATTAGATTTGACTTCATTAATGTTAATTACTAATTAATTATTTGCTAATTTCGCATTCTCTATGTCACTTATTCAATTATCTATGTGTAAAAGATTTGAAATTTTGCAATACATAAAGAAGCGTGTGAATATGAAAAATAGTTCCATACATAAAAATAAAAAATAAAATAAAAAAAATAAAAATAAAAAAACCCTTGCAAAAACTTAAAAATACTATTTTTAACCAATTGTTTGTGGGATTAAAACCTCGATTTCTTACCTTTTAGGTGTCTTGATTATATTGACCCGAACTAATTTTGTTATTCTTTTTATGGATGTATTGCAGGACCAGAAGGCAAACCATGCACCATGGTGGTAAGGACTTTACATTGGATTGTTCCCCATTACTGGATTTGGGGCTTGCCGTTTTTCTTGTTCTACTCAACAAGGTCTTCACAGTTTCTCCATCAAAGACCAAACCAAAGTTTCCTGAGAACCCTCCTTTGCTCTCTAATTATGTCTCCAATGGTAAATTAAAAATCAGTTAGCAAGAAAAGAAAATATTAAACTAATATATGAGAAGTGATTTCTGCACACTTTTTTTTGTCTCCTGCCACATCTTGTTTACTTCTGGCTTTTGGATTGAGTAAATCCAAAAAGAATCGTGCGATAAGACTGAACAGGGTGTACAGAAGAAAGAAAATAAAACAAATGCGGAAATCAGTTCCTTAACATATATGAGATCAATGCTAAAAGTTTTGGTTGTTATTTACAGAGGCATGCAGTTTCAAAATTTATTGAATCATATTTGCTGTGGAAGATGCCTTTGGAGAAGTATGGCCTAAAACCGGATCATCCATTTGAGGAAGACTATGCATCCTGCCAGATGGCTATCATGCCGGAAAATTTCTTCCCCGAGGCGGATAAGGGAAAAATTGTGTTCAAAAGATCAACATCAAAATGGTGGTTTTCTGCTGATGGAATTGAATTTGATGACAACACTAAGATAAAAGCTGATGTTGTGGTCCTTGCAACTGGTTATGATGGTAAGAAAAAACTCAAATCCATCTTACCAGAGCCTTTTCGCAGCTTGTTGGAATGTCCTTCTGGTATCATACCCTTATACAGGTAAACCTAGTTTTCGGTTTGAGATTTCAAAAATTTACACGTGTTAGAAATGTTAAAATTGGAGAGTAAATTTTTTGAATGCATGTTTCTCCTCAGGGGAACAATTCATCCTTTGATCCCAAACATGGCTTTCGTGGGTTATCTCGAGAGTGTTTCAAATCTTCACTCTTCCGAATTGCGTAGCATATGGCTGGCCAGGCTGCTGGATGATAAATTTAAGCTTCCAAGTGTGCAGAAAATGCTTGAGCAAACAAGTAAAGAAGTGGAAATCTCAAAGAAAACAACCAGGTTCTACAGGAGGCATTGCATTTCTACATTTAGCATCAACCACAGCGACGAAATTTGCGAGGAGATGGGATGGACATCTTGGAGGAAGAATACTTGGTTGGCAGAAGCATTTAGCCCCTATGGAAGTCAAGACTATCTGAACAAACATTGAACCTAGGGTTTGCAATACCTATTAAATTTATAATTGACAGTTAGTTTACATAAGTATACTAAGAATAAAGAAAACCTGGCTCCTTACTGAAACAGTAACGAATTATTGTGCCATGTATAAGCAATTCAGAATCTATTTAATTATCTCAATAAAAGATTTCTCCATTGTTTACTTGTTAAACTCCCACAAAATTATGAGCTGCTTGCAAAGTTGCCAATTAATCAGAATAAGCAAAACATCTTCATGACCTACTAGTTATCACGACAGCACATCAGTGATTATATATATCCTTCAATTTTTTATTTTTTATTTTTAATTTGGCCACAAAGTCCGTCTCACTCCAGCATTGCTATCATAGGAAGAGACTTTGAGGAGAATTTATTGATAAACAAGAAAAATATAATATGTCAGGGGGACATGAGGTTAAACCCAGACCATTAAAAAATTCATAACAATAATTGAAAACCTCTTTTAGCAAAACCTATAACAAGGAAGCTTGGAAAGATTCTGAGAATAAGCAACTGTAGCACAAGGAGGGCAAGAATCCCACCAACGGACACCGGGGTGATCAACATCATAATTAGCCAAACAATCAGCAACTTGATTATCCTCTTTAAAAATATGAGAAATCTGATCTGCCAAACAAAGAAAATCAGGATAATGTTTTCTGACAAGGCTCAGTAAAGCTCGCCTAGTGGGGCGATTTGCTAAGCCCCTAATATTCCAATAAATGGTCTTCATGGATCACGGGGAGCCATAGCAGCAACCCTAGCACGAGTTTGAATAGTCTCACGCTTGTAGGTATGATAACCAGATTCCCGTTGTTTTTTCCGTAATCTTCTCTTCTGAGATTTTGAGAGAACCAAAGTCATGTCATCCTCAGAAACATTATTTGCACCATCTAAATCATTGTTTTCTCTACTGACAACATTATTTTGAAGAGCATATTCCTCCACCATATTGTACCAATCATTAACCTTTCGAATTTCAGAGCGAACTTGAGGAGATAAAGAAGGAGGACTAGCCTCTTGAACTTGGGAAACAACTTGAACAGAGTCATTAACATTACATCTCTCAGAGAGTACAAGAGAAGAGTTTAACTGCATACCTATAAGGGGAGTATCCATCGGAGTATCAGAAACATGGTCACAAGTTGTATCATTATCATCAACTAAACCTTCCACAAAATATGAGGGAGAAGCATCATCCAAACCTCTCGCACTAGAGAGGGAGTTCTTACTAACCATACCAGCCTTAGCCAATTGACTAACCATATGATCATGAGAACCTGGAGTTTCTGAAACGTATGCAGAGGTTGTCCCATTATTTTCTAAACCATCGACAACATGTATGGGCGAAACATCACCATCATCCAAACCTCCCACACTTGAGTTGGACACATTATTAACACGAACCTCACCTTCCGGTTGATTGCGGATATCAGTTTCAACTCGAATGTTATCCTGATTGTTCTCATTGCGCTTCACTATTCGTGATCTTGCACCTTCCTTCTCAACCACATGCCGACGCTTAATATCCCTTGCAGCAACACGACAAGTAGCAGGCAGATGCCCAATATTTCCACAAACAGAGCAAAAAGCAGGAAGTTTTTCATATATTATTTCCACAAATAAAACCTCTCCACTATCACGTTCAACCATAAGTGAAGTGGGAGGCTTTTTAGAAAGGTCAATGTCCACTAATATTCTAGCATACGTACCAAAATTCACAGAAGCTGTCGCCCTGTCCAATTGGATTGGTACTCCAACTCCCCGAGCGATTTCCATTAAGGTTTGAGGTTCCCAATATTCCAATCCCAAATCATATAGACGAATCCAAACTTGCGCATGGGTCGACTTCTGTTTGGAGGGTGAGAAATCTGCGGACCATTTGGGAAATTCTAAATAATCCAGGATTAAGATTGAGTGTACCAACTGCCCAAACTCGTCTCATGTCCTCGGCGTGATCAAAACGCAGAGAGAAAAAACCTTTCCCCAAAGGGATTAAACGCCAAGCCTTAAAACCCCATATGGTCTCAAGCTTATTTCTAAGATGAACCATTTGAATTGGTGTAGAACCCTTAGGTAAAACCATAGGCATGAGTTATGGAAGGAGGGTAGACAACGTGGTCGATGGATCAGCAAGCAAAACATGCCGGCCTCACAAAGCTCTGAGGTGTATCCATGTAGGAGTTTTGTGTGTTCAAGAAGCTCCGGTGATCGGGCTTTAATTTCTAACAATATTAAGTTTATTGGCATCTGTGTTCTTCATTTTCGTAATCTCGTTAGTTAATACAAATATCAATTGAAATTTCCACAGTGACATACAAATAGCATCTCACTTGATTTTCATTGCTACCAAATATCACAGTAGTTGATTATACAAAAACTACTACTTGCTAACCCTGTTTTGTGGAGATATAATGGACATGAAAATAGGAATGAAAATTCAGGCAGCTAAAAAGGAGAGAGCTTTAGAGGCTTTGAAGTAGCTTGAGAGTTTCGTCGATATGCTTCTCGGGCTGGAACTGGTTGTTGTAGATGAGTTGAACCACCCCATTCTTGTCCATAACATATGTCTGTCTCCCTGGCAATGCCCCAAACAGATCCGACGGCACTCCCCATTCTTTCCTCACCTTGTTACCCTCATCGCTGAGTAATGTGAACGGAAGTCTGTTCTTCTTTGCAAACTCCTACAAACATTTGCAATCGTAATCAACTTTGAGCTTTGATTTGTAGCGGTTATGCATACAAAGCATACAAAACAAGTGTCGAATAAACTACTAGAGAGAACGAACATGCGCGATTTATAATTCTTAGCTCACGTATCAGCAGCTTAAGTTTTCGATTACATTGAAAAACCAACAAATTTATCCTTACATCTGTTGAAGAATCAATGAGCTTTGGCCTTGTGCATAATTACCAAACTAAGCCTCAATGTGATGACAATCTAAACACACAAAGCTTTCACAGTACCTTGTGTGATGATGGGTCATCACCGCTGATCCCTACAACCTCGGCACCCGCCTTCTTAAACTTCTCGTAAGAATCTCTGAAAGCACAAGCCTAAGGAAGTATCAATTTGTCAGTGTCAGTACTAACTAAAGGCACAATGTTTATCCGGGGTTGTCAGCTTCAATGCAAATTCCATATCATTAACCGAAAATTTACCGATACATAGCAGAAGTGAAAATTATTGGACAAAACTAATCCAGGATAAGCATTTCAAGCATAAAAAACTTCAAATTAATTGGAATTAGAGCATACAAAAAAATGTGATTAGTTTTAAACCTGTTTGGTGCAGCTAGGGCTCTCATCAGCAGGGTAGAAATAGAGAACCACAGGCTTTCCCTTAAATTTGGAGAGGCTCACAGTTTTTCCATCCTGATCTTTCAACGTGAAGGCTGGTGGAACCGTACCCTTGTCCACCTGTCCACAAACAGACCAACCTAACTAATCAATAAAACAAATTAGCCGGACTTGTAGCTCAGATGATTAAGAGCGTTATCCCGATAATAAGAAACACAAGATATATAAGCAAATGAACCTTAGCAGAAATGAACATCTTGCCAGAGGAAGATGAAGGGATTGGCAGAGTGGAAGAAGTGGAGAACTTGAGGCCATAGAATTTAGAATGTGAAGAGCTGGAGGCAATTGGGAGGGTTTGGGAAGATGGGTAGTGTTTGGGAGTTCGGGTGGGGAGTAGAGAGGGGAAGACTGGCTGCTTGGGAACTGAGAGAGAGGCCATTGGATTGGATTAGACTGGACTGGACAAAGCTAATCAGAGAGATATAAAGTTGTCTCCTAGGTTTCTCTGTTTTTTGTTGGGTTTTATGACAATTGGTGGAGGAAGATAAGGGAGGGAGAGTGTTGGGTGTCGGGGAGAAGATGGGGATTTATTGGCTTTTGTGGACGATTGCTGACCCCAACCTTGGTACACGTCACATTTGTTGAGTTCAACCGACAAAGTTTGTAATTTAAATTTCAAGCTGATTACAATATATGTATTTACTCAATTTAATCACGTTAATGCAAGTATCTAGCACGCATCAACTTGTCATTAAATGTGTTTAGTTGTTGAGTTGATGCATAATTTAGTATTAGTTTGCTTTAATTTTTTTTTAAAGAAATTTTGGTCACTGGAAAAATAAAAGGCTTATTTTTAGCAGCGCTCCTTGAATTCTATTTTGATCTTACTTTGCCCTGTAACTTAAAGTCATCATTTTACTCTTTAAAACTCAAATTCGTTCCACTTTGACCTGTGGACCCTCACTTCTCTCTTAAACTTATAGGTTACCTCCTCAAATATATGGGAGACCCAACATCCAATAAGACTCTGCCACATGTGCAATAAACTTGATTATAAATCTCCATTATACTTTAACATTTAACAACCAAATAATATTAAGTTTAAAAGAAATTGAAGAGATGGAAAAAATAAAAAAGAAATTGATTAGTATGTCGCTCCCAAATCAAACCCACATAAGAAATTAACACATCTAGGACAACGTGAAATGAATTCTAAGTTTTATAGAAATGACTTTTAAGTTTCAGGGAGCAAAATAAGATCAAAATCAAGTTCTAAGGACAAAGTGGAGCAAATTATGAGTTTCAGGGAGTAAAGTAGTGACTTAAAAATTATGAGTTTCAGGGAGTAAAGTAGCGACTTTTAAGTTATACGGAGTAAAGTGAGATTAAAATCGAGTTTCAAAAGGCGTAATTAAAAATAAGCCGAAATAAAATGGTATACATACATTTGTAAAGGGCTTTACCCCAAGTGGTTTTTGTTCACCCAAGCCCAAGTTTCTGGACAGAACCAGTTTTGAGTTTAGTTTTATTTTGGGCCTTGAGCCCGGTTATACCAATACAGAGGAAAGAAAATCAAACATAAATATTCCGCGAAATTTGGAGGGAGAAGAATACTCCACAGTAAACTTGGGATCTTTGAAGAAACGAAAGCGTGACCAATGCGAATCGAAATCGGTAATAAACCCTAAACCCCTAAATTCTCAGTACTAATCTCCTTACGTGTGGAATCCCTAATTGGGTTTCCGAATTGTGAACAGGATAAAGCGTTCTGGGTTGGGTTCTCTGCGTTTTCTCTCGAAGCATTAGAATTATGGAGCGTTTGCAGAAGTTGATTGGGAAAATCCCGAAAGAACCCCCAAAATTGGGCTCCGCTTCGGCTTCCTTCGACCCTCACCGTGGGACTGAAGGTCTCGCCGCTGCTCTGTCTTCCTCCGATCAGTCTCGTATTTTGCTCAACAGACCCGCCAGGTACCTGTCTCTCTCTTTCTCTCCTTGTTTTTTACTTTACTTGTTCAGTTCTTTGAAGTTTCAGAATATTTTATGGATTCTGTGAATTGGGTTGCGTTTGGTTTGTAATGGGAGGCTTGGATTTGCGAGTTGTCTTTGAAATACCAAATTGTTGGATTTTTTGTTCAGTGATTTCCCCAATCATGGTTTAGGGGTCTTAAGGCTTGGATTTTGTGGGGTTTTTCTTTCAATGATTTCCCGAAAGCGGGTTTCACTTGGTTTTAAAAGAGTTGAGGTTGATGCATTAATCAGCCATGAATTTGTTTCTATGTATGCATGTTGAATGTAAGCACTCTGAGTGTAAACATTGGATGTTGCTGCCATTGTCGTCTTCTTTTTACGGTAATTTTCAATGTCTACTTGCAGGCAATTGGTGTCACTGTGGACGTGCTCAAAGCTTTGTACAATTTGCTTTGTTGCTGGAATTGTGGTTGGTTACACGCTGAAGCGACGTGTCCGAAGTTGGACTTCCAAACTTCTCAAGAAGATCAGAGATGATTGATTGCTACTGGATCTCTTTATATGAATCCATCTAATGTGTTGCTCTCCATAGAAGAACGATTCTCCACCAATAGTTGTTTGCTCTAGAGGGTGCAATTTTGATTAGCTTCCCGAGGTTATACTAACCCTGCATCTGACCTGATTAACAGATATTGTTAGCCTTCGGCTTTCTATTATGTTAATGATAAATTTTACGAGTTAACCATGAGCATGATTCTGTTCCTGTAGTTTTGAATTGTTGCATTTGCCGATTTAGCTTCGCTCGCATACTTGCATAGATCTATGTGATTGAAGTCGGATGAATTCTGAATACATCAAGTCAGAATGGTATCCCTTTTGCTTGTACACCTCCAGGCTAGGTTTTATCCTTTTCTTCTTGTTTGTCCATCAAATTGCAATACATCGGGTACATATTTGCTAGATTTCGTATTGTTGTAAACTAGCTGAATGTGTCAAGCACTCATGGTTTCGAAAGCTGGGCATTATATATGATAAACAATTACATCTACATCTTTCTAAGTTACTATCCTTGTACATTTATGATTATCTTTCTCTATGGATACTCCAAACGATTAGAAATGAATCGCTGCTTAGTATTTTGATGATGGTGGTCTTCTAGTTTTAGAAATACTCCTTGTGGAATTCAAACCGTGTCGTTGTCTTCTGGCTGAGTTCATGTGAGAGCACCTTGAGCTCCTTTGCCAACATCGGCATCCCACAGTAGAATACCCCTGCAAATTAACTGATTCGTTCAGTCTCTCGGTTTTTTATTTCTTTGCTTGAACAGATGCACTCTTAGGGTTTAGGAAACTGGGTTAAAAGTTTGTAAGAGTTTCGTCTCGTTCTGTTTTAAACATTTTGGTTGTGGTAGAATATCTGTACCTACTGTTGAATACGGATGCTTGGAAGCTATCTTGGTAAACACTTGTTTCCAGTCTGGTCTTGCGAAGTGAGTTCTTACCTGCAATGCATGATTCAATGTTTGAAAGGTCATTAACTGCTTAAGAACACAATTTACCGTGCTAACTGAAATAGCGATGAAGGATCATACTCGGGTGCCAGATAGGATGTCGACACCATGTTTGGCGTGGTTGAGAGCTTGGACCATGGTGATTAGAGTCGACCTGGCGTCACCCTCTTCGTAGACACTCGTAAGATAGTTGTGGAGCTCAATCTGACCCTGTCATAAGAGAGAAGGTTAAAGACTAGTAACTTGGCAGTAGCACATCATCAAAGTTGAAGATAATTATGACGTAAAATGGTAAAGAAATTCATTCATTACTTTGTGATCCATTTCTGCAACCTCGTCCATGACTCCTTTAAACCACTCAAAAGATCCAGGCTCTCTGGTAACCCAGTAGAAGTGAGCATTTGTAGTCTTCTGAGATTTCTTCTTGTCACCGGGCGTCAAACTTGAAGACATAAAACTATTCGGGCTGTCGTCTGATCTACTAGTTTCCGTATTTGAATCCTAGTTCATGATCAATGTACTGTAACTTAGTTATCAGTAACAGAGAAATCTATCAAAACACTGAAACGTTGTACTCGAAGAGTCGGATATTATGAATTGTACCATTTGTTCTTCTGCTGTTCTTGCTCTGTCAAGAAGATCTCGAAGAATGCTTATAAAAGGGGTAGCTCCGATCCCAAGCCCCACGAGGAGCAAGACATCGTAGTGCTGGTAGTCCTGCGCTGGCGCCCCATATGGACCGTCAACAAACAATCTGGGTTGGCTGCATTGATGTTGCATGTAACATTAATAATCCCATACATACACTGACTGTAAATCTCGGAAGGTAAAATATTGGTTCATACCCTCTCTGATCCAGATTTCGCATCTGAGCAAATCTTGCTGGATGAACTACAGATGAATCATCTTCCTCCGCTATGGCTCGCTTCAATTCTCGAGTCCAGTCTCCTACTGTTCGGATGTGAACGCTGAGGTACTCGTCTCCTGGTGCGGAGGTAATGGAAAATGGATGCCTGTAAATAATAAAGGAATGGTTCAGTACTTAATCGTTGTCCGGGTTCTTTTTCTAATTTACATTTCCTGAAAGACGAAGTTTAACATGAATCAGACTCACCATTCAAATGGGGAGATGGTAGAGCATTGAAGAAATATGTACTGCCCACTTTTGTACTTAAATCCAGGTGGTTTGGACATGATTAAGCTAATCACATTTCCGGGGAGGACCGAAGCCTGTTAACAGAGTCAGAAACCAAAAATCTCTAAACTATATGAACAGGTTCGAGTTAAATTTTCTTACCTTTAACATCTTAACTGAATAATGCTTCGATCTACATGTTCTCAGACTGCGCTCCGCTACATAGAGCAACAACGGAACAGAGATGTACATCCATGTCTGCTAAGTAGTAAAACATTAATTACTCGATGGTCGATGCAATCAGTTAATAAGTAAATGAAATTTCCTTTGTAATTCTACTATGTTATTGTTCACATTTCGTACCGTTTTCTCGTACCACCTGTGGGCTAAATACAAGCAGCTTCCATGGATGATTAGCAAAATGTAGACAAGACCTAGCAGATGATGAGAATACCAGAATGCATTAAAACCAGTCAACTTGTTGAAGGGCGCAGGCAGTCTCACCATGTTCCTCCGAAATCTATGAGCTGCTAGCGTGAAGGAGATGGCTATTAAAATCACCATCAAAATTCCAGTCGCGCCTTCACTTCCGGTGAGCAGGAATTCATAGGTGGGCTTTTTGTCATGGAAATCCGAGGATAGTGGTGCAAAATTTTCCGGCGAAGAGTTTACCAGGCGAGGAAAGTCGCACGCCAAATGGTTCCCGGCGTGAATGGTTATTCCAATTGCTATAGCAAATGCAATTATCTGTGGTAAAATAAGATCAGTACAAACAGAATGTCACATTGTTGTGTCTTAAGGAAAGAAAATTGAGAAAAAGCACAAAGCCGACTACAAATAGGCGACAAAATGCACTGGTTTATATACGATTTATTATCTGCTTAGTATTCCGAGTCAGTGAAGATTAGTGCTTATACCTTGTGGAAATTAATATTGTCATCAAATGGGATGAAGGACCTAGCTCTTGTAGACCGAAGGCATGTCAGCGTGTTTCGACAGACCGGTAGCAGGATGAGAGCCATGTTAAGCTTGAGAGTCTCTGCAGCCCCTTTGGCCACTGGCAAGCAATAATGCATGACGTGAAATGTAGCCCTATTTTTTCTGTACTGGTAGAATTTCCATACAAAAAGGCAAGCCATTGCAACAACCCACAACAGTAAAATCCAACCACGCCGCCAATTCTCGAGTGCGAGACACTGGAGTGAACGGCTCAGTCTCCGGACCAGATTCTTGGGCTTCAAGGAACTGGGGTTCTGACTCCAAGGTACACTTGCTGTGCTCAATGGTCCGCTGTAGTTTATGTACACGTCCCTTTGTAGAAGCAGTGCTTCCAATTGCCATAACTGATAAAATGGTATTGGTAAAACATCATCAATTTCCTGATTCAAGACCCTAGAAAGACGATAAACCTTTGAATGTGACGATCACACTACCACTAGTAAACGAATGCACGCGTTAATTATGTTGGTGAATTGATAATGTGCCATGACAGTGTGACGGTCGCTGTTACAAAGTTCGATGACAAACTTTTATTCGAAGGTTGTTTTAATTTTACCTCGATGTAACCGAAATTTTCGGGATCAAGTTCTTCCATTATCAATGAAGCATACTCTTCAGCTTGTTCTTTGAGCTTGGATAGCTTGTTTGCAGAAGCACTGAGCATTATAAGCTGTAATTGAAATAATTAGCAAAAAAAGGACAAAACGAAACTTCATTAGATTGTGCTAATTAGATTTAACTAATGCATGAAGTAGTTTAACAGACGGTTTTATTTATTTATTTATTATTATTTTTTTACTGCAGTTAACAGTTTTTACCTCTTGAACTCCTTCCATTGTGATTCTTCCATCTTCATTGATATCCGCCCTGAAAATTAAATAAAAAAATAAATTAGAAAACAACTTTTGACCAACTAAAAACCCAAGGAAAGTGATTTTCTCTCTAAATTTCTAGTTTTTCGATCCAATAAAAACCATGAGCAATTTTATTTTTTCTAACCAGAGAAATACACAGCCACAAATAACAAAAGGCAAAAGATACACGCAGTTCAAAAGCATTTAATTACTTAACTTTTGTTTTAAAGCTATTGAGATGGAGAAATTTTTTTAGCGTGTCTGGAATATAGGGTGGAACATTACATGTCATTATGCAATTGAAGAAAAATATTTTTCAAGTGTTTTCTAATTGTATAATGATATATAGTATTACGCCATGACATCATGTATTCTGCGCACACTGAAAAATCTCTCGTTGAGATGGGAAAGGTTGAAGTAGATAGAACACAAAAAGACACAGCATAGTTAACCCTATGTGGGTAAGATTCTCTCTTGTTGGTCAACTAAACAAAAATCTCACACAAACGCAATGCACAACTGCAACAGGCAAAATGCCAAAACACAATAAAAAACTCCAAGAACACAAGATTAATAACTCTCCAAAAGGGTGTGACTCATGAGTACCAATCACTTGATGTGTTGAGTGCATTAATCTTGAATGATACAACTATAAAAATATGCTACGATGAGTCATATATAGGGTTTGTAACAATATTTTGCCATAAAATTATGTAAAACTCATGTACACATAGAACATCTTAAGCTCCCACACGTCACTGACTTTAGCACCTCTCAGGCTCTCACTAAGGCAATAATATAAAAATAAAAAATATCAAAAGAAAAGAAAAAACATAGGTACAAGTTAGGTCAGTTTATTATGGTGTCTGCCTCCTTTCACTCAAGTTTCACCTTAAGATATATTAGATTAGTTTAGAATTGGAGCTCTGTCTGTCTGGACCGTCGATTTGTTAGAAGAAAAATCATACAAACCTAATCAACGGCTGAGAATAGAAAGAAATGAGAGTGAGAGAGACCCACATGTCAAAGAAGATTTGAAGGCGCGCGTCGAAGCTGCTGTCGGAAATTTGCAACCAAAAGTCACGAAGCTCCTCTATTGTAATTTTGGTTATCTTCTGCCGCCGCCGCCTCGCCAGTGCATCAAATATCCCCACCGCGAACTCCTCCGAGTCCCCCATCCCTTCGTTTATACAAAATATCATCAATATTTCCCTTGCAATTTTCCGGGGAAGCAAACAGACAAAT